CCCAAAGAAAAAGGGGAAAAAAAAAAAAAGCTCAGCTACACAAGACGGCTCAGTTGTGAGAGGAGAAGCATTTCTAGCTAGCCAGCCACATACCAGTAGAAAATAGACAAAGCAACACAGCACTCCCAAGCCAGACTAAGGGCCCATGAGAAAGTGGAGCTGAGGTCAGCAAGGAGGGATCAAGAGCAAGTACAGGAGCGCGAAGAAGAGCAAAAGAAGAGAGAGCGTAGTTTTTTTTTTTTTTTTTTTTTTTTTTTTTGAGTTCTTTGTTTGCCCAACCTGAAATCCACGAAACTGAAGCTCTGATGAGTCCATAGTTATTGTATTTTGATTTCATTGTCGTAGGTGAAATAGTAAAAAATTACACATAACAATAAAACAAATATTGATAAGCCCAAGCGGGCTCGCTTAGTTGATTGAACACGTAAGTGCTATTCAGGAGGTTGTGGGTTCGATTCCCCACGTCGTCCAAGCGATCCCCCACGGCCCCCTGTGATGCGCTTCGGGTTCACCAGCATAGATATTTGGTTGGGGCCCCTGGTTGGTTGTGGAAGTTGGTTAGGCTTTCCAGCTCATGACAGGTGTTAGGAGCCAGGGTACTGCTCCCCACATAGAGCAGAATAGGCTGGGAAGGCTGGAAACTCAAACCCATAACCTTGCGCATCCCCTGGAAAAACTGGACATATATGTAGGTAGGTAGGTAGAGTGAGGTATACGAGTGAAAACAAAAGAAAAAAAAGAAGGTTGAAGATATCTACAGAGATTCTCAGAGCCAAGGAGAGCAAGAGCAAGAGCAAAAGCAAAAGCAACAGGGAAAATCATCAAGCAGATAATATGAACACCTTTTTCTTTCCGGATCACTGGAATGCCAATAACCAAAATTGGATCTGGTGCTTGAGAGGTCATACTAGACAAAAGAATGAAGACAGATCAGCAGTCGTCAACCTGTGGGGAACAGAATCCAAGGAGACCTGCACTCTTTCAAGACGAACCAAGTCACCTCCGAAGTCCATGTTGAATTGATTCACCGCTCGTACCAAATCTGATGCCGGATCCTGCACACCATCCACATGGTAGACAAGTTGCCGCATACGAATTCTCTCACTAGCAGTTCAACACCCACCCATTCTATCGATTGGATTTTGAAAGGGGGATGATATTCGATGCACAGCACACATCATACATCTGTCTGTCCTCAAAGCCACCCCACATGTTCTGGACAACGACCCTCACAAACAGAGTCACATGAGAAGCAAAACCGCGTACAACTCGACTCAAGGATTGCCTTTATTCAAACCGCAAAATTACAATTACTATATAATAAAATAAATATATATCGAACTGCCCGGTAAACCGTAGACAGAGAGGCAGAAGAAGATAACAAGTGAGCGGCTGTGACAGACTGCAGTGTTTCGTCAGAGTTTCACCAGCTCATCAGGAGGCTGAACCCTCTACAGTCTGCAGAGCATATATATAAAAGATATATATATAATATATCATATATATAATATATCATATATATATGAATCGGAGCGCTAAGGCGGAAAAAGACGAAGAAAAGGAAAAGAAGGAAGAAAAGCCCCACCTGTTCATCACCTCTTACGTACAAGGCCAGCCACGTGGATGACAGGTTGAGCGCTGGCGGCCCCCATCCCCGTGTGTCACAAGGACCCACTTGCATGCAGCCAAAAGGCAAAGAGGTAAAGAAAAGGAGGAGGAAACTAAACCTGACAGGGAAAGAAAGCCTATCAGTCAAACAAAGCAAAAAACACATCCCACAGATAATCCAATTGCCACAAAAAAAATAACACATCCCACA